TTATGGTACAGTTTATGTACAGTTTATGTACAGTTTTTGGTACAGTTTACGTACAGTTTAAGTACAGTTTATGTACAGTTTTTGGTAAAGATTACGTACAGTTTATGTACAGTATATGTACAGTTTAGGTACAGTATATGTACAATTTTTGTACTGTTTATGTACACTTGCGAAACGTCAAACTTAAGTTTTGGACTCTCCATTTTTACATTTCTAATTAACAATACTCTTACTTCTTTTGTCTGATCATTGGTAATTTTCTCTCTTAAAATTGTGTGAAAACTATACCATATATAAAGTTTGAATATCACAAATCGAAAACAGTTTTTACCCGAACGATAGAATCTTCAAATCAATCCTGAGTTTGAAAATAATAAGTTTAGAAAACAAACACTTTTTCAAAACCTTGTTTTTGTTATAAACTTATCTTTGAAGAAATAAATTCAACATGAAAATAATTAGATAAGTGACAATGATCCAACTTAAAAATACGAAGAAATTCTTCTTTCGTCAAAACTGTAAAAAATACTGAAACAACATATATGTACAGTAAAACCCTTAATAAGCCATAAATCGAAAGAATTTATTAAATGTCGTCTTGACAACTTTTTAATTGGTATTATACTGTTTTACGTAAATCTCAGTATTTGCCAAACTAAATAAATAGCCATAAAATCATTTAATTAAAAAACTAAATATCTGCAACATTCCATTATCAGAAAGTGAAGAATACGACATTTGATGAATTCGTTCGATGTATATGGCTTATTTAGGATTTAACTGTAGTTGAGTATGAGAACGTACCCTTTACTGATACAAAATGACGACTTTATATCAATGAATTAAAGTAAAACATAAAAAAGCACTTGGTGTAAAAATTTACATCAACTTACAGTCTATAGCAAAGTGTTTTATTTATTACAATTGAAAACATATCTTTATTTGGATATTTTACACAAAAAAGTCTATATAACTTTTATGACAATATATCCCATACTGGTATTAAAAACATACAGGGTGTCCCGCGAAACATGACATTTAATAAATCGTTATTTTTAGTTAAAACATCCTTTTGCTTCATTATCTTTTACTTTGAACTCAATTTTAATATAACATGACTCCCATATAATACTTTTATTGATCTTTAGTATCAAACAACTTAACAAATTATGGAAAAAGACATTCTAAACTATTTACCGACTGTCATGTTTCGTGGGACACCCTGTATTTTTACCAAATTAGAGCAATAAAGCTTCAGCTGTTTACAGTTAATTACAACAGTAAACAAATCCAGTGAAATCATGGCAATATTGAGCTCCGGACTTGTTCCACCTGACGACGGGTCCGTAAGTGGGATTTCTATTAACACCTACAACTCCAGTATCATTAGCAGGCACCTGTACTTGTCTACCAGTGCGATCCTTGTATATTGTATTCTTTATTGCTCTTATCTTGGTTCTATGACCTGGTGTATTACGAACAACTTGACCATCCAGGCAGAAGGTTAACCCATTGCAGTTTTTGCAAAGGGCCTTGGTAAGCTCTATATCCACTAACTTCTCCTCAAGTTTTGAGATTTTAGTGTTAGAATATTCTAACATTGTCTTATTGTCTTCTAGCTGAACCTTGGTGTCCTTCAACTGAATCTTGGCATCTTCCAACTGAATCTTGGTGTCTTCCAACTGAATCTTGGTGTCTTCCAACTGAATCTTGGTGTCTTCCAACTGAATCTTGGTGTCTTCCAACTGAATCTTGGTGTCCTTCAACTGAATCTTGGTGTCTTCCAGCTGAATCTTGGTGTCCTTTAACTGAATCTTGGCATCTTCCAACTGAACCTTGGTGTCCTTCAACTGAATCTTGGTGTCTTCCAGCTGAATCTTAGTCTCTTTGATTTGATTCTTTATATCTTGAAACTGAATCCTCATATTTCTCATCTCCTTAAATAGTTGATCCATTTGCTCCTCAATGCGCTGATACCCTAGATAATAACAAGAACTGGAGAAAGTAATTGTTTTTGTTTTGGTTACAATAATATTTTTTGGGGGGAAATATGGAATTCTATAAATATTTTAAAAGAACAGTTAAAAATTTTAAATATGTTTAGAGTTTGAAGGAGGAAAAAAAGGGGGAAGTGTATAAAAAATTTCCATTATATTGTTTTAAATGTACAGGGAGCTGGGGAAGGCAGCCACAAGCACAACTATTTTCCCTTCCATGCCACGTATTAACTTTTTTCTCTTCTGGCAGCCATAAGCCACAACTGTACATTTTTCCATGCCACAGCGTTTGACTCTTCTGGCAATTCTATTTTTTAATGGTTAATTTAGTTTTTTGAAATCCCGATTTTGAAAATTCCAGCCACGTCACGCAATAAATATATATGTAAATCTTTATTTTTTAACTTTAATAATTTATTTTAATTAAATTTTACAATATTTTTAAATTTCAATATGATATCAGATTGAAACATTTTGAGCTATCTATATTTCTTGTTTTTCATTCTTTCTTCTTGATCCTTCATTCCTCGTCCATCCTTCAAACATACTTCGGCTAATTTTAAAAATAAAAATAAATGAATTTTTTGGATGTTTCTGCAACTAGCCAAATTGCAAAGGCAGAACTGGTTTTTCGAGCCCTGTATCTTTATTCTGAGAGTGACAAGGTTCCTCTCTCCCCTTGTTTTTGTTTTTAAATTTTGCTTGAGTCATGTTACTGTGTCAGCTCCTGCATTCCTGGCTATACACTTTCAATGAAATTTCTTGGTGGGGAGGGGGGTGAGGGGGGTTTTCTACACATTTTCCAGTTTTTTATCTCTCGTAGGACATAGAAAGGGGTGGATGGGACGTCTGCCATCCTGTGTACTTGTCTTGGTGAAAAAAAATTAGACAGCTCAATTCCCCTTCTAATTTTTCCTGTTCAAAGTTTTCTTCTTTTTTCTTGTTTATCTTGCTTTAAACTCCCATCTCTACTGTCAAGAGATTTCCCTTCCACTTTTTTTCTGTTCAAATTCTTTTTTCTTCTTGCTTCTTGTTTCTTGTTTTTACACTTTAAGCCTTTCTAAATAGTTCTTTTTGACATCAAGTTGTGGAGCGAGTAGGATACAAGATGGGTAACTAAACTCAGCTCTTCTCCAGCTGTAATTCTGGGACCACATAGGAGGTCTGCTCTGCTTGGGAGTAGGCAGGCAACTGGATTAAAATCTTTATATTTAAGTGTTAATATGAAAAAGGGATGATTCCTCTTAATTTAAACTGCAAAACATTTTTTGTATAATTTTTGCAACACTTTGCAAAAAATATTTTTTTATTTAAAAATATTTATCATTTTTGAAATTGTCAGGTCAGATGCTTTCCAAAAATGTGTACTATGTCACATGTATGAAATATTTGAAATTTGTGCAAAAAAGTGAAAAGTGCGAATTATAAAAATTTACAATTTTTTCCTCTTTGTCCTTTTTAAGAAATGATCAGAGAACTGTACAGCAATTCATAATGTATGATATATAACTTTAGTATGAATTTACAGTTGCTGCATATCTTTGCAAAATGGAAAAACTAGTTTGTTAAAATACCATATTTTTTGCAAATCTTAAACTCTCAGCTTGAACTGCAACTGAGGTTGATATGCAAATTATGTAATTATCAGATAAATTCATATTTTTATTTTTTTGTGCAAATTTTTTTTAGCAATTCTTTTGGCAAATCTGAATTGGCCTAATCCAGAGCTTTCCGAAAATGTATAATTTGTAACATTTATCTTTAAAACTACGGATTTATAACCCAGCGTACTTCAAGACGCAATACTCAAACAGTCAAATTTGTCAAAAATTCCATTGTAAAGCACTTTACCAATCAACACAAAATATATTAATCTTAAGTTGTATTGAAAAAATTGTTTAAGTTGTATTTTTTGCGTATAAGGTTGATGGATTTTTTAAAATCACAATTTAAAAGCCTAAATATACCATTTAAAAAAGCAGTTTTGCCCGGAAGAACCAAATGCTGTGGCATGGAAGACTGTACGGTTGTGGCTCATGGCTGCCGGAAAATAAAAAATCTTATATGTGGAATGGAAGGTGAAATAGTCATGGGCCGTGGCTGATGGCCGCCTTCCTCCATCAGGACATGATTCTTTGACTGTAGATTGATTGTTAATAATAATAATATAGGTGGTAATAGTAAAATAGGAGGATTATTGTGAAAATATGTAAGATTATTTTAATTTACCCCCGCTGTCGGATTTATTCTCAACTTCTTGCTTCTCTAGCTTCCTAGCTGCTTCTAGAGCTTCAGCGAATATTTTCACAATTAAGGAACTCATGTTCAGATTAGGTTGTACCTAGAAGTTATTCTTGATTTCTATTTATAAAATGAAAACTGGCAGAATTAACATAGTTTAAGAAAGAAAACCGAAGATATCTTCCTCATTGTTCATATTTTTATCCAACTACAAAGCACGAGATAATACAAAATAAAAAATATCAATTTACTGTGTAGTTTGGACCCGCCTAACCAGAGTTGGTTGTTGCCTGGAAGGAGTAAAATACACTTTCGTGAATCGGGCCAGGGATGGTTTTGTTTAGTCAATTGGGAAAAAAACTGTTTTTGAGTAAACAAATATGAAAAAACTTGCCTTTTCATTTCCATTTTATCATTTCATCATCAAAAATCATCCCAACCCCTGGGGGGATTCTTAAAAAAAATGTTTGCAGGGTTACTTGAAATTACATTAGCAGCCCCTAGAAATAAAACCAAAGGCGTCTGATGTGTCCTCATACATGGTGTCCCACGAAACATGATAGTGAAGAGAAAGCTTGAAGATCGTCTTTAACACTATTCCTGCTGGGGGGGGGGGGTCCCCCTTATAGTTTTTTTTACATAATTAAAAGAAATTTGTCTTAGGCTGTTGAAATTTTCTGACTTCTTCATAGTACCCATAGCCCCCCTTTTAGGTCTAAAACTGGGCTTTTATACTAACTGACTGAATTCTCATGCACACTGCCTGAATGACTACTTTTTCCCGTAACAAAATAAATCATTGTTTTGGCCCACTTTCAATTGTCAGATTTTGATCATTTTTAGCTTTTTGGAAAGCCTGTGACGTAATGAAACTGACTGCACAAGTTTTGCAAAGAAACTTTTGCATACAACCCGTCCAAAGAAATTTGCACATTTTTAGTTTTTCTCAATTACACATCAGGTTATCTAAAATTGTCATTTTTTGCATATTTGAAATGGCATGGTCAAGGGTTTTTGCAAACAAAAAGAGCGAAAATTTTGGAAATACCCGGATAATTAATTCGAGAATTTGCCAACTGAACGCTACCAATGCAATTATATTACAAAGATCAAAGACGATATTCAAATCGTGTCACTCAACTGCCATATTTTATGGAACACTTAGTGTCTCGTTATATTTGACAGCAGAAAATGAAAAAGGACCGTATGGTGGAATTGCCAGAAATTTTGTGATATTTTGTTAAAATTGACAATTATTTAATTACTTATCCCTGACACTCACTATATTGTTGTTTGATCAACGTAACAACTCTTATAATATACGTTACCGCTCGTTTTCAACTCGTTAACGGAATTTAAGCTTCAATTCAGTTAACGAGTGAAAACTAAACGGTTTCGTTCATTTATTTAATTTTGTTATTTTATAAAATTGCTAATTATATAACACTGTTTGAATTAATATTACCTTGATTATTTGTTTCCAACATCTAGTAAATTTGCTTTATATGGTTTTGCCACTTCAGTGTCAATCTGAAATATACAAAACTTATAAATAATTAAAAAATTTACTAATTAGACTTTACCGTGCCTTTGGAATAACTAAATTAAAACTTAAAAGTAGAATTTTTTTAGTGGGGCCCAGATCAAGTCTTAGAGAAAATACGACATTTAAGCTTTCTTAAAGGGACTGAATTTCATGGAGATTGCAATGCCCGATATACAATGGTATCCTAAAAATTATGATTTGTCTGATCAAATATAAATTAGAATTCCATTTTTTGTTCTTTAAACAGTTTATTTTCGTTTCCGGTTTTTCTGCAAAAGTGACTTGCGCATTTCTTACTTACAAGAAAAAGTGGAGAAACATTATTCTAGTTTGAAAAACGACACAATCTTTCATAATTTTTATCAGATTTAGGTTTCACTAGCTGGTACCGTTGTAAATCGGCCATTGCCATCTTTACAAGGAGGGTCACTAATAATTAATGTTACAGTCCCTTTCTATAGAAAGAAGAATGAGTCTAAAACCCTAGGAAACTTTAAATGAAAAATTATAATTTAGCTGAGAATATTTCATCTCTGTCCTTGTTCCAAGAACTAATACCTTAAAACTGAGAGAAAATTGATATTATGAAATTCAACCTTAGCGTTAAGATAAAATTCATATACTAATATCTATTCCTCTGCATATCTTTGCAAAATGGAAAAACTAGTTTGTTAAAATACCATATTTTTTGCAAATCTTAAACTCTCAGCTTTTAATATAACATGACTCCCATATAATACTTTTATTGATCTTTAGTATCAAACAACTTAACAAATTATGGAAAAAGACATTCTAAACTATTCACATACAATGAAAAGCTTTTTATATAAGCAGCCAAAATATTTAAACCCCTTTAATAAATTTGGATATACAGGGTTTTTCACAGAACATGAAACGTTAGATAAAATGATGAATTAAAATGTGGACGTTTTAGAAGAAAAAAATTTAGTCTAGACATTTGTTTATCAAAACCAAGGAATTGATACATCTGCACAATGTTATAATGCAAGGAAAGTTATTTCAGAAGTGTGCGCATCTTTTGTACTGTAGTGTCTGTCTCTGGGCGGTAATGTAAACACAAGACGGATGTCACAGCCTGACATGGGATCCATCTTTCACAAACAAAATCAATGAAATATTCTGGTCATAGGAAACTATTATGTGAATTATCAGAATTTAATGAGTTTATTCTCCTCGGATACTTAACGAACACTGCTGCATCTATTCTAGGTTACAAATTCCGCCCAGAGAGAACTGGTTTCAATATGTACGCAGAGTATACGCAGCTGCAATTAACTTTCCTTGCATTATAACCTTGCATCTGCAGATGATCTTGAGGAACCCTTTTTACAGCGATAACTGGGGGGGGGGGGGCTCGAATTCCATGTAATCTCTAATTTGTATAGCGTCATGTCCGTTTCACAACGGTACCATTAAAAGTTTTGTCAAATCAAGAATGCATGATGTGATATATCAATCATCATCTTTGAAAGTTGATTTGGGTTCCTAATGTACCTTCCTTGACCAAAACCAAGAGTTAGCCCTTGAACTTTAAGCCTTGATTGCAAATAAAATGTATTTCTTTATCATGAAGATATTGGGGAATCCTAATGCACCTTCCTTGACCAAAACCAGGAAAAGGAACTGAATTTTGTAGCTGAAAAATGTAAAGAAACGCAAATAGATACAGTTTATTTGTAAAAATAGATATAAGGGGTTCCTGGTTTAATATTCATTGATCAATACTAACAGAATGAACTTTCACCTCTGGGAGAAGCAACATGCACACTGATGGGTCTTTACAGACATTAATGAAAATAGTCGGAGATACAGGGTGAAATAAAGAAATTGATGCCAGCCCCCCCTCATTCTTGGGGATAAATTTCTTTACATGAAAAATGTAATCTTATTGCATTTAAGTATTCGAGAAAAATGAAAGGGATTATAAGGAGAAAATCATTAAAAACTACTTATACTAACGAACGTAGCGTCCATACAAATTGAGAAAGTTGCAACATACGACAAGTATCGTAAAATAATCAATTTAATTTCAAACAAATCATTCAGATATTACAACCTAAAGTCAACAGAGAGATGTAAGATTAATAACGATCAAAAGCGATTATTTTTCACTGTAAGCCTATACCCATTTTTTTCGCGAACACTCCAAACATTTGAATTAACAATAAAATATTTCTTGTTAAAAGTTGCCTACCATTTTGTTACACCCTGTAGCCTGAAAGAATGCAGAAATCACAGACAAAATATGAAATGCTTACTCAGTATAATTAATTGGTATAAATCAGAGATAAGAGAGTAACAGAGATCAATTATCAGCTAGAATATGCGGTATTTTCCAAAGCATGTTCTATTGTGTATAAGTACTGTAAACGACCAATCAGCAAGGATCTGTATTCAGGGAAATTTAAGGATTCTTTGGATAAGAAACACAACATCTTCAAAAATAGACTGAATTCATAAATGTTATGTTTCAAGTTTAAAATTGGAGTATTTCTTTAAAAATTTCTTTAAACGTTTAATGGGATTATGTTCAACAAGTGGCAGTGAGATGGCACTCCAAATAGGGTAAAAACGTAGCATATCGTGCCGGGTCAACTTAGGCCTACGAAAGGATATAAGCAGTCTGTGTAGTCTGTGGTATAAATAAGCGTTTCAACTTTACAAACTCTTCTAATCAAATAGGATATCAATATATCAATATATCAATATATCAATATATCAATATATCAATATACAGCGGTCTATAGATGTTTCTTAAATCAAACTACAATAACAGAGCAAATACATATTTGCAGTTTAACATTTTTCCAAATAACCCCATAAAGGAATACAGTGCAAAAGAATTCACTTATTTCTAGAAAATTTAAAATATTTTTGGCGCGTTTTTTTAATCGAATAAAAATATATATTTTCTCTGACTCCGCGGGAAAGTCTATAATAATGCTAATTTTAATATGAAAAACTTTAACACATATTTTGAAAATGACAATTCTGTCTGTGGATAAAAACTAGTACATATCCTACAGTTAAAATCTGAATAAGCCATACATCGAAAGAATTCATCAAATGTCGTATTCTTCACTTTCTGATAATGGAATGTTGCAGATATTCAGTTTTTTTAATAAAATTATTATATGGAACTCTTTAAAATTGTTCCCGCATATTCATGGCTATTTATTTATTTTTGCAAATACTGAGATTTACGTATAATAGTATAAAAACCATTGAAAAATTGTCAAGACGACATTTAATAAATTCTTTCGATGTATGGCTCATTTAGGATTTAACTTTACAAAAGTGGAAATAAGTTTGGTCTATAGAAAAGAAAGTGTATTCTTGCCACAAAATCACAAATTTTAAAACCTATATCTTTGTAACCTAATGGTGATATTTAGAACTTTAACTATTTAAACTAACAGACTTGATAGTTTGTAATATCTAAGATTTACGTTTTAGAGATTACAAAATCAGATTTTCTGGAAAAAACTCAGTTCCTTAAATTTCATATTTTGTTCTGTATTATTTTGTGTAAGTACACTGTTTTTACGATGTCCATATTGAATTTGATTTATTTTCAGAGAACGGCTGCAACCTTCAAAATTCTAATTTCTCTTGTCCAGACTCCACCTGCTAATAACTCATAAAAGTTTACTAAAAAAAACGTCAATCTAAATCTTCAAAAACAGAGAGGATTGATGAAAAGGACACTCTGATGAAAGGTTTCTACCCTAAATATATTCTTTTAATAAAAAATTTCATGATTTTTCAACGGAATAAACAAGTATTGAACGTGAGGTTGAAATCAAAATTTTTTTAAATTTCCAACATGTAACCAAATACACTTGCTTTTCTCCTACTAGTTCATAAATCAAAACTAAAGGAGCTACAAGGTCATAAAGTACAAGTTCATAAAATACAAGGTCAAAAAGTACAAGGTCATCAAGTACCATGGCCATAAAGTACAAGTTCATAAATTTGACCTACTCCATCTGTCTAGCTTACAGCGAGTTGCTGGGATCTATGAATCTAAGAAATAATTGTGAAAAAATTCCGTACAGTCGTCTATGAATTCTCATTCTTCATGAATAACACTGCAGTTCTCCATATTGTTGAATCTTAAAATCTCGTCTTTTTCAATTTACATTTGAATTTAGGTTATTAGCAATAAATAGAAGTTTAAGAAAATTGACTTTGACAAAAATGTTTACGGAGCAGTTTTAACTATACAGAATTAAATAAGAGTATTACAAAAGTAACTACAAGTATTATAAAATATCTTAACGATTAAAGCTGTTTGAAAATTATACTCAACTCTTTTTTCTTCTTTTTTTCAGTCAAAAAATATAAATTTTAAATTGCTTATTTCTATTTTTTTAATTGTAAAAAGAAAACTTTATAAATCTGTATTATATGTAATGCATTATTGTATTCTTGTTTTCAAATATGTAATTATGTTAAATGTTACATTTTATTAAACATTGACAATTTCTTATTATTACAGTTACACTTATGTGATAATCAATGTTTATTAAAAATAAAGAGATAGTAACCATTGAAATTAGAATTTTAGAAGTAAGGCTGTTATCACATCCGGTTCATTCCAAAGTAGAATCTAAAAAATAAAATTTAAAGGGACTGTAAGCGAAATTTTCTAACGACCCTCAATGAAAAGATGTCAACGCCCGATTTACAATGTTACCATTGACAGTCTTGTCTAATAAAGAATGAATTAGATATCCATGTTTTGTTCTCATTTGCAAAAGTGACTGGAGCATTTCTTGCTGATAAGAAACAATGAAGAAGTTATCAGAATTAAACACTTTTCTAGTCATGAAAATGACGTTATTTTCCACATTTCTGATCAACTAAAGGTTTGAATCAAGCAATGTAATCTTTGCATAGAGGTTCACTTATAAATACGCTAACAGTTCCTTTAAAAGGCTAAAAAAATGTCAGCAAGATGCAAACACATATAATTATTGTCATTAGAAAATATATTTAATATTAGGAGAGTTAATTTATTCAAAACAAACAGAAAACAATTGAGTTACTGTAAAACTTAGTAACCCCGAGGTATAAAATGCAAGGAAGGTTAATTGCAGTTGCGTATACTCTGCGAACATACTGAAACCAGTTCTCTCTGAGCGGAATTTGTAAACAAGAATAGATGCATCAGTAATTCGTTTAGTATCCGAGGAGGTTAAAAGCATTAAATTTTGATAATTTTGATAATTCACATAATAGTTTCCTAAGACCAGAATATTTCATTGTTTTTTTTTTATGTGAAAGATGGATCCCATGTCATGCTGTGACATCCTTCTTGTGTTTACATTACCGCCCAGAGACAGTACACTGCAGTACAAAAGATGCGTTCACCTCTGAAATAACTTTCCTTGCATTATAACTTTGGGTAACCCCATCTTTACATATATTAAGGGTTACCCACAAAGTATGAGACTTGAACAGACGACCTGAATATTTAACATGACGAGTAGATAAAGACTTCTGCTTTATAACTTTAGTCTTTAAATAAATATTATCAAATAATATTATCAATTATAAATCTACAAAAAATGAAAAATTATTAAAGTTACTCAGGCTCCAATGGGATATGGTCGTTTTCAGATTGGTTGCACTTTGCTGAATATGATTATTTTAAACCTGCTATTTTTATACAAGAATATATATATATATATATGAATCATCGTAAAAATTTAACACAGTTTTATTTTAATTTCTTGAGACAGAAACATCAGATAGAACTCTTTTGGGTCTCGATCAACTCCTAAGATACTTAGGTTTAAGTCTATAGCTCCTTTCATTTTTCCTTTATAGTTACTTTAAAAAAGAATAAAAGGAAACAGATCAGTATGAAGTCGTCTCTGAAGTCTCATTCTTTGCGGGCAACACCGTCATTTTTTAAAGAAGATCTCTATAATTAATCCAATATGATGTACAATGTAACTGTACCTAGGCATTGATCCTTTTCATTTTTTTAACCATTGCTTTGTTTAAAAAGGAAGAAAAAAAACGAGACAGTTGTATTTAAAAGTATAGTTTTTGAAAAAGATCGTTTTTGAAAAAATTAGTCGATTCGTTAACAAGATAAGGTCATTTTTTATTTTTGGCGATCGTTGACGACCTTTTTAGACAAAATACATGTTTTTAATAAACAAATCCTTAGATCTAAGAAAACATTTAGGATATTTCTCTCGATAAAAAAAACACATTTAAAATAACTGTTATAAACTTATCTTCTTTAAAAAAATTAAACTTTATTGTTTAAAAAACTAATATTTATCAGCGAAAATATTGTCATAGATGATCTTTAAAAAATGGACGTTTTTCGTTCTTTAACAGTTCAAAACGAGTGGTTCGTTTAACGATCGTTTTATTCTAAAAACGAAACGATCGTTTTCAGAAAAAAACGAAAAACAAAACGAAAAATGCTCGTTTTTTCGATAATTTAAAAAATATTTACAGTTGTACCTGGGCAGCTTAGTATGAAGAGGGTGCTGGAGGTAGTAAGGACTGGTGGCAAATTCTCGTCTATATTCAGAATTAAACTGAGGCAGAACTCGAGTTCCAGTTCCATTTCCAGATAAAAATCCTGATGATAAACTTGAGTTTACAAGGGGGGCAGCATTTTTTGTTTAGTGTACAGTGATAACCAGAAAACTCTGGAATAGGAAGACGACTTTTATGCTCAAGTTATGACCTTAAATAGTTCTATGAGCATAGAAAAAAGCAAGTGAGCAGTGGACACATACCCATTTAAGGTAATTAGTCATTTAAAAGTGTTTAGTAAAACTATTTGCTTTGTAACAACTTCAAATACACGTATAGCTGTAAAGTGGTCTTCCTATTCCACAGTTTTATGGTTATCATTGTATAGGAACTGGGGGAAGTCACGAAAAAGTATTAAGTAAAGATTTTTTTCAATATCAAACACTGTGAGAGAATAAAAATATTGTGTCCGCTTTCCAAAACTCAAAAATTAAAATAAAATTCAAAAAAGTTTAACAACCTGCCCAGAAAGTATATGTTCCATACGTAACTATTGTATGATTACATGCAGCTAACAGGGCTAGATCCAGTGTTGCGGAGAAATAAGGTTTATCCCTAAAATTAATTAATATTGAAATTGACTAAAATATTTGTATTCAATAACTTTTGTTTTAAGCATTTTTTAAAAAGTCTGTTGTTCATTTCGATATCAAAAGATATCATTGTTTTTTTTCGAATTTTAATTGCGGTTGCTTAATAGAATTTAAATGATCTTTGACCACCGACAGGTTGTTCAAGCTGGATAGAATGGCTATGTTCCCAAAGAGGATTGCCTCAATCTCGAACAACACTGTTTTAAATGCCTTTATTTCACGTGGCCCAAGAAAACTAAATTATCATTGATTGGAAGATAGAATTTTGATTTTTTATTTTCTATTTACATTTTAAACAAAATTTATTTTATTTACTATCTTATTTACTTCTTGTGGTATACTTTTACTTTTAACTTTAGAAACAAACATAGAAACTACTTGCAGTCTCCTGCGAAAGAAATTAGCATAATATTAATAGTATTATTTACTAAAAGAACAATATAATGACAACAGAAAATAAAACATACTCCCTTCATTAGAATAATATGATATTATATGCATAATGTTAATGTACAAAGTTCAAGCAATGATATTTTTTATCAACATTAGATAAATATACGGATTGTTTAGATATTTGTACACAGGGAAAATAATCTGTAATTTTAGTAAGTAGAACTTTTTAGAAATAGAGGGGGATTTCGTCTGCTAGAGTATGAAATTTGTTTCGTCTACTAGAGTATGAAATTTGTTTCGTCTACTAAAATAAATATGAAATTTGTTTCGTCTGCTAGCGTATGAAATTTGTTTCGTCTACTAGAGTATGAAATTTGTTTCATCTACTAGAGTATGAAATTTGTTTCGTCTACTAGAGTATGAAATTTGTTTCGTCTGCCAGAGTATGAAATTTGTTTCGTCTGCTAGAGTATGAAATTTGTTTCGTCTACTAGAGTATGAAATTTGTTTCGTCTATTAAAATAAATATGAAATTTGTTTCGTCTGCTAGAGTATGAAATTTGTTTCGTCTGCTGGAGTATGAAATTTGTTTCGTCTTCTAGAGAATGAAATTTGTTTCGTCTACTAAAATAAATATGAAATTTGTTTCGTCTGCTAGAGTATGAAATTGGTTTCGTCTGCTAGAGTATGAAATTAGGGACAACATGTGACTTTTACTACTTGTAGTCTCTGTATTATCTACCTGTAGTCTCTGTAGCATCTACCTGTAGTCTCTATATTATCTAACTGTAGTCTCTGTATTATCTACCTGTAGTCTCTGTATTATCTACCTGTAGTCTCTGTATTATCTACCTGTAGTCTCTGTATTATCTACCTGTAGTCTGTATATTATCTACCTGTTGTGTCTGTAATATTTAACTGTAGTCGATCTGTATTATCTACATGTAGTTTCAGTATTATCTACCTGTAGTCTCTGTATTATCTACCTGTAGTCTGTATATTATCAACCTGTTGTCTCCGTATTATCTAGCTGTAGTCTCTGTATTATCTACCTGTAGTCTCTGTATTATCTACCTGAAGTCTCTGTAGCATCTAGCTGTAGTCTCTGTATTATCTACCTGTAGTCTCTGTAGCATCTAACTGTAGTCTCTGTATTATCTCTGCATAAACCTATAAAGTATATGTATACCTGAGATCTGGATTAACCAATGAGCCTGCTAGATACAAGTCCTCTGTTCTTATTCGAGGAAGGATATTCTCTTTAGCCCAGGTCATGTCATCAGATACATAGATAAATACTACATTCTTGTACTCTTCCCTAGATACAGATACATGGATGAATACTACATTCTTGTACTCTTCCCTAGATACAGATACATTTATGAATACTACATTCTTGTACTCTTCCCTAGATACAGATACATAGATGAATACTACATACTTGAACTCTTCCCTAGATACAGATACATAGATGAATACTACATTCTTGTACTCTTCCCTAGATACAGATACATAGATAAATACTATATTCTTGTACTCTTCCCTAGATACAGATACATAGATGAATACTACATTCTTGTACTCTTCGTAGATACAGATACATAGATAAATACTACATTCTTGAACTCCTCCCTAGATACAGATACATTGATAAATACTACATTCTTGTACTCTTCCCTAGATACAGATACATTGATAAATACTACATTCTTGTACTCCTCCCTAGATACAGATACATAATTAGATACTACATTCTTGTACTCTTCCCTAGATACAGATACATTGATAAATACTACATTCTTGAACTCTTATAGTAAATTCTAAGCATATGTTATATTCTCGCCGCTTTTTTTTTGAAGATTTTCATAGAAAAATTAAAATTGTTACTTTTTTAGAGTAAACAGAGAGGATTTTGAACCATCAAAATGGTTTTACGCCAAATAAAAGCATCAAACGAAAAAATGTTAAGATTATTGAGGCTTAAAAGGTACCCTTAATTTCCTAAATACAGATAAATAAGTTGAATACAGATTGTGCATACAAATAGTTTATTTTCTTAATTTTCACCTGAAGAGTTCCATGCTCTCTAGAAAATAACTTGTTTTTACTGGAATGAACCCAACATCCTAAATAAAATAACTGGTTTTAACTGGAATAAACCAAACATCCTGGATTAAATAACTGGTTTTAACCGGAATAAACCAAACATCCTGGATTAAATAACTGGTTTTAACTGGAATAAAACCAACATCCTGGATTAAATAACTGGTTTTAACTGGAATAAAACCAACATCCTGGATTAAATAAATGGTTTTAACTGAAATAAAACCAATATCCTGGATTAAATAAATGGGTTTAACTGGAATAAAACCAACATCCTGGATTAAATAAATGGGTTTAACTGGAATAAAACCAACATCCTGGATTAAATAAATTGGTTTAACTGGAATAAAACCAACATCCTGGATTAAATAAATGGGTTTAACTGGAATATCCTTTAAGTAAAATGACAGGTGAAAAAAATCAAAGAAATTGATTCTTTGTCACAAACTCTAATTTTCTAATCCCTTTATCTTTTTAATCCAACATCGTAGACTTTAGATATTTCAAACTGTAAATTCTGTTCAAATAACCTAAGTTTAAAATATTTACGGTTTACACCATCAGGCTGCAAGGATAATGGGATTAGACAATTTGAGACTGTGGCTTAGACTCAATCCTTCCTTTCAAATTAGAATTTTAGACAAAAAAAAATGCTGGGGATCTTTTTAAGGAAACAGACTTAAAAAAAATACCTTCTGAAATTTGAGATGATCCGTTCTTCTGTTATGAATTCCTACAAATACAACTTCATCTTCATTTTTACTTTTTTCTTTCTCCCCTTCCAGTATCTTCTTTTTCTTCTTCTTCTTATTCTTTGCTCTATCCTGTTCTTTCCTTTTTGAAAGAAAATCTTTCTTTATTTCCAGAAGACTGGCCTCCGCCTGTTCTCTGTAAAATTTCTAAAAAAAGAAAAAAAAATTTGATAATTTTTTACATTAATCATGTTCTCAGTAGCCACATATTATGATAGTTTGATAATCTGAAACTTTTAAATTTAGTTAATTTCCTTGAATTTTGAAGTTAGGTGCTAAATCTAGCTCAATCTTGAGCTAGAGCTTAACGCAACATCCAAACTAGAATTAAATTTTGAATTTTAAAGCAAAATCTAGACTAAGCTTGAATTTGAAAAATTTAGAGCAAAATCTAAACTAACCCTGAATTTGAAAAATTTAGAGCAAAATCTAAACTAATATTAAATTTGAAGGATTTAGAGCAAAATCTTAACTAGCCTTTTGAAGAATTTAGAGCAAAATCTCAATTAACCTTAAATTTGAAGGAATTAGAGCAAAATCTAAACCAACCTTGAATTTGAAGGATTTAGAGAAAAATCTAAACTAACCTTGAATTTGAAGAATTTAGAGAAAAATTTAAACTAACCTTGAATTTGAAGAATTGAGAGCAAAGTCTAAATTAACCTTGAATTTGAAGGATTTAGAGCAAAATCTAAACCAACCTTGAATTTGAAGGATTTAGAGCAAAATCTAAACTAACCTTGAATTTGAAGGATTTAGAGCAAAATCTAAACTAACCTTGAATTTGAAGGGATTTAGAGCAATATCTAAACTATCTAAACTAACCGTGAATTTGAAGGATTTAGAGCAAAATCTTAATAAACCTTAAATTTGAAGGATTTAGAGCAAAATCTAAACTAACCTTAAATTTGAAGGATTTAGAGCAAAATTTAAACTAACCTTAAATTTGAAGGATTTAGAGCAAAATCTAAACTAACCTTGAATTTGAAAGACTTAAGAGCAAAATCTAAAAGTCCAGGGTAAGTATCCCACGGGTTATCATGATGAAATCTGTCATACCACTGAGAAAAAATGAGTTAGTTTTAAGCCCTTAAAAACAAAACATAAAACGAAGCGACAAACCCGTACCATTGAATTCTTTTCGTTTTAATTCATTTTTTATAAAACTCGTTGCTCAAAAGTATGAAAACTGCAACAGAAGAATTCGGGAATCTAAAGTAGAAATAAAAAGACGACAACTGGACGAAGACGACAACTGCTTAAAGACGACAACTGCTCAAAGACGACAACTGCTCAAAGACGACAACTGCTCAAAGACGACAACTATACAAAGACAACACCTGAACAAAGACAACAACTGGAAAAAGACGACAACTGCTTTATTACAACAACTGCTCAAAGACGACAACTGCACAAAAGACTGAGACGAGGGGACAACATATTGAAAGTTGCGCAATAAAATTAGCATTAAAGGGAATGCTTTTGTAATTTAAAGTGAGCCTCCATTTGAAGAGGGCTAAACCTGATTCACAACACTACCCTATACATCTTTATAGGTATATTCATTTTTCTAATTATGGGAAAATGTTCGATTCTTACAATTTCATCTATTGTTTCTGTAGCAAGAAAGAAATCCAAAGAGAACCCGCAATTGAAAATAAACAATTTGAAGGAAGAAGAACAGGTTTAATTCCGTCAAAGGTTTGAATTTGTTGTGAATTAACAAAAATAATTAATTTTGTCTGATACCATCTATTTTATTAAAAATTTGTTTAAAAACCTTAGCATGAGAATATCCTACTGGAAACAGGATGAGCGCCCGGCCTGGTTGAAGCAGGCTAGACAAGCTGGTCATCTCGCCAGAGAATATTTCCCAGGGATGAGGAGTATATCCTTGCAGCTCAGATCTAATTGGGGTCTCTAGAATATAATATTAAAGTTGGGTGTCATTTTAGTGACCTCACAGCTTCTCTAGTTTTTATTTGATTGTATATTAGCCAGTCAAAACATTTGAGTTCTCAAAACTGCATGAAAAGATAAAAAGAAAATTAATTGAAATTATGATTGAGGTGCGGACTGCGGAGAATATATAAGGTGTCCGATAAATCTTGCCACTGCTAATACCAAAAAAATGAGGAAATTCAGTTATTTCGTTTGAGCAATATTCCAACATGGTGTTTTCTTATAAAGAAGCCAAGATAACTGAGTCTGATTTTACCAAATTTACAGCAATTTAAAAATTGGCCAGATTTAAAGGACACCCTGTAAAAGGAGAAGAATGAAATACACTTTTTTATTTCTCTCTGAAAGTAAACAGTAATTAAAAGGTTGTAAAATTTTGTTTTCTTTTTACATCAAATTTTACACTTAACATTTCAGTTTAGAAGTAACTTAAAATAAAGTAATGGGTCATGTGTGTCAAATTTGGACACTTATTGTGTAATTTTTAAAGTCAAATAATTTCTGATTTTAGAATGATTTAAATCTGAAGTTTTAAGTTAAAATTTATAACTATAAGAGTATCTATCCTTTTCTATACTTATATACTTTTTAACCTCAAACTATTCTATAAAATTGTCTGATTAAAGTTTATGCCAGTAGCCCCATAGTGTTTATCTACGAAATTTAACTAAGTTAATTTTATGTTTTACGCTAATATTATTGCATATGAAAGAAAAATGAATCAAGGCAACTTACTCGTATTATTAATATTCGACGAGTCGGTTTTTCTTACGATTTTTTATTTACAAATATACAAAAACTGAAGGATGATACTATACGAATCAAATATTATGAACTGAAGATGTTTCAGAGTGATGGGGGAATCTTCAGGGGAACCTCAAGTCAAGGGAGCTTGTCTTCAACTGATTCTTTTTCCCCAGATTTTGCTCCACCCTGGGCTAGCATTTAACCCTAGTATCCCGTGAGCTGGCCGAATAGCCCACCAGCCCCCGGGTTTCTGGAATAACGGAACTTGGCGCTTGGCTTCGGTTTCTCCGCGTGGCTTGGGTTATTTATAGAATTCAAACACAAACAGGAATAAATCCGTTAGATTTAAGGCAAAGTGAATAAATACTAAAGTGGAACAGACTAAGGAAACGACGACAGATTGGGCCAGAAGGTTTTATTTGGTTTGGAAATAATTTCATGAAAAGATTTCAGAGGGATGGAAAAAGGGGTGGGGGGAGAAACTGGAAATGATGGAAGGAGGGAAAAAATACCATTTATGATCGCAGGAAAGATCAACACATCACTTTCCTGCTACAATATATCTCTTGGAATAGTTTCTAAATATATATCATTTTCAATGACTCAACATTATTTTATTCAACACTCAAAAAAAACAGAAACTCTTTAATTATGAATTTATCAGAAAAGAACTGATTACTTGCCTCAAAATCTTTTCAAAACCTTATATTATAATCAAAGTTTAAAATATTACAGTTTTACATAATCAAGTTGCAAAGTTATCAGAAATAAAGCCTTTTTTATATTTTCTAGGATAAAATGTATTTTCCTAGAAAAAGAGAGCTGTTAAAAACTGGTATCTTATTTTTAATATTCTATTACTAGTAAAAAACGTGTTTTATTTGCAAAATATTGCAAAAAATTTATAATTTTTTACCTTGATCTTGTGACAAAACTCTGGTAGGTTCACTGCAAATTTAAAATCTTAAAATTTTAAAAATAATTCCGATTTTCAAATAGCGACAGAGAAAACAAAGACAACAATTTATGATTAATAAAGAAGAAACAAAATTATAAAATAAAAAATGTTATTTATCAATATCATTGGAAAATAGTTTTAAAATTGAACGAAATTTGGCAGAATGTTTTTTTATTTTTCTTAAAAATTCTTAAATCCCTGGTGTCCACCTCCTCGGTATGTTCTCCAGGTGTTAGGTTGATCAAGTTCTTTAGATTTACCTCCTCTTCTTGTTTCTTTCTAGCAATCACGTCCCAGATATTCTTCCATTCGTCGTTTCTATACCTCGTGTAGAATCCACTAAACAAACCAATAGTTAAAGGGGCTGTCAGCGTAATTTTGTTTACAGTCCCTTTAATCCCTGCAAACTACCTGATATTGTTTACAGTCCCTTTACTCCTTGAAAACTACCTGATATTGTTTACAGTCCCTTTACTCCTTGAAAACTATCTGATATTGTTTACAGTCCCTTTACTCCTTGAAAACTATCTGATATTGTTTACAGTCCCTTTAATCTCTTGAAAACTACCTGATATTGTTTACAGCCCCTTTAATCCCTTGAAAACTACCTGATATTGTTTACAGTCCCTTTTATCATTGAAAACTACCTGATATTGTTTACAGTCCCTTTAATCCTTGAAAACTACTTGATATTGTTTACAGTCCCTTTAATCCCTTGAAAACTACCTGATATTGTTTACAGTCCCTTTTATCCTTGAAAACTACCTGATATTGTTTACAGTCCCTTTAATCCTTGAAAACTACTTGATATTGTTTACAGTCCCTTTAATTCCTTGAAAACTACCTGATATTGTTTACAGTCCCTTTAATCCCTTTAAAACTACCTGATATGGTTTACAGTCCCTTTAATCCTTGAAAACTACCTGATATTGTTTACCGTTCCTTTTAATCCTTGAAAAACTACCTGATATTGTTTACAGTCCCTTTAATCCTTGAAAACTATCTGATATCATTTACAGTCCCTTTAATCCTTGAAAACTACCTGAATCCACAGATTGAGTGCTGAGCTACTGGGAATTCAGAAACGTTCTCAAAAATTTCTGATAAATGTTTCCAGGTGTAGTGACCTATGTACACTTCTAATCCGAAAATCTCTCTAAAAGAGGGAAAAAATAGTGATTGTTTTTCTTTTTAAGATAATTTATGAAAGTATAACAAAGTTTATAACTTTGAAAAGTATAATAATTACAAAACTAATTCAAATCAAAGTTTATTAATTTTTCGTATTTTTTGTATTTTTTTAAGTTTTGTGATTCTCACTAAAATGTGTACAATTTAATTTTGCTAATTTGTAATTGTTAATTATAAATTTAATTTTTATATAAATTGCTAAATCAATTATGAATTTATTTAAACTTCTAACCTAACGAGGTATGCTAAGATGTAGGTGAACATTTTGTTTCCCAGATTTCCACTAAAATAAGGAAATTAAAGATTTTTTAAAGATTAATTACAGATTTATTAAAGATAAAATTAGAGATTAATTAAAGATTAATTAAAGATTAATTAGAGATTAATTAAAGATTAATTAAAGATTAATTAAAGATTAATTAAATTGGAAGCTCTTAACTATTAATCCCAAATCAATGGGGATCATCCACACGGCTACAATCCTGTGGTACTTATCAATGGCTAAACTAGAACACATTCCACACAGATAAAATCCCATGAAATGTCAACCCCACTACCACGGGGCGCGATCTTGTTAGCTATCAATATCAATCAAAAGCTCTTAATTATCAATGTCAAATGAAATAGGCAAGATCCTCAATCTGTTTATCAAAACAGGGAACGATTACTCTCTCGCATTAAACAGTACGCCCCTGTTATCTATCGATCTATCTATATTTCTATCTATCTATCTATCATTTGAGGTTTTTGAGGTTTATGGATTACAAGTAATTACAATTCCTATGCCGTTATCTATGTCTCATGATTAAGACAATCATGTTACGTATTTACCGAACAGTTAAAGCTTAATGTACGTATTTATAAGGTTAGCAAGGATAGATATAACGTAGTCAAGCTATCTCTACACATGTTTACAGCGTAGTTTATGTTGAATGTACATATTTAAAGGATTAACATGGATAGATATATCGTAGTTAATCTAATCACAGCATGTTTTAATCATATTACGTAGCTCATGTTTTATATATCTAGGTATTTACTACAAATGTGGGGGGGGGGGGGAAATGTTGAAAAATAGGGCTATCTTGTTTTATTATATAGATTATACAACACTAACCGTGTATCCGTGAAGACTATTGGAGGATCGTTTACATTGTAGCCAAGACATGGTGTTGTAAAGCTGGACAACATTATATCCTAAATAGATAGATAGATACTGAAAATAGAAGATTTAGAAGAACTGTAGAGAGATTGATAGATACATAGATACAAATAGATTATCAAGTACAATAGGTGGCAACAGAGAAATGGACCAATTATACACGACGTCACAAGTGTCAAATATAACAAGGAAAACGAAATTTTCTCACATTAGTTGACATATTTTCCAATTTTAAATAAAAAAGTGTAAAAACAGAAAATAAAGAACACATAAAATTGAACTTATTTTCAGAAAGATACGTACTTAAGTCTAAAATTATCTCTATTATTAATAATTTTGTTGGACACAAAAACTGAATTGACACTTGTGACGTTAGAATACAGCTGTACTGAGAGTGCAAAAATTCTACGTTGCTAAATTCTATCTTGCTGTACTAGAATCTTTTTGGATAGATAGAAAGATAGATAGATAGACAGATAACAGGGGCGTACGAGGGGGGATAAGCCCCCGGCAACCACCCCCCCTACGCGTTTCCCACTGAGGAGAGGGGGGTTCTTTTAATATTACATCTGCTTGCATATCCCTTCCTTAGGCAATCAAAATTCTACATTGCATTGCACTCACCCAAACTAAAAGATTAAGAAAAGAAGTAAAATATATTCTGATTCACAACAATACCCTTCAAAGCTTTGTCTGATTAAGTATTGCATTAAATATCCATGTTTCCCATTTTGAAAACTGAATATTTTTATGTGGTTTCTATACAAAAGTGACTCGCGCATTTCTTGCTTCAGAAACTATGGGGATATGAAAGTTTCAAAGGTACATCGGACATGCCACTCTATAAAAGGGGGGTCACTTAAAGTTTCATTTAAAAAGCTTTACACTACAGTTTCAAGAGGTAGTGTCTGATGAGTCCACTTAAAAAAAATTACATAAATAATTTATTATATCGCTTTTGTTATGTGGGTGTGTGTATATGATCGAATAGTTTACATAGTAAAAAAAGGTATCAATATTTTTTCAAAAAAGGGGTTTTTAAGGGAGGGCACACCAAAAATATGGCCCCCCCCCCTACACAAATGCTCTCGTACGCCCCTGATAGATAAATAAAGGATAGATAAATAGATATATATAATATATATATAGATAGATAGATTTACCTTGAACGTTTTCTTCCTGCACAATAGACAGGATTTTATGAGGATTGTATTTAGAAAAAGTATATTACAGATCAAAGCAAGTTTCATGCTTTTTGTATTTATAATATATATTGCTTCACGTAAATCCAGATGTGCTACGCTTTGTCCGTAAAGCAGGCCACGGTAATTTAAATATTTGATTGATTCCAATGACGTAAAACAGTTGTTCTGAATGGTCACGTATTCTCGAGTGCGTCATCTATTGTACTTGATAATCTATTTGTATGCAAGCATATATGCAGGTATACTACAGGTGGTTCTCCTTCATGCCTGGTGATCTTAGGATTTATATCTAAGTATGTGGCCACTGGCCATTGCCCATGGGCCACAATATTTTTCCCTCCCATGCCACATTTTTGTTTTCCGGCCGCCACTCGAGCCACAACCGTTCGGTCTTCCATGCTACAACAATACAATACAACAATTCTAGCCTAAATGGTGTTGTTGAATTGGGATTTTCACGAATCTAGCAACATCAAGCAAGAAATATATAACTTCAGACATTTATAATAACGTGTTGATATGAAATGATGATGATTCCTTATTATTTCTCAATCACAAGTTTAACTCTCTTAAAATATGGGATATTTTTAAAAGCATTTTTGACATGAAAAATAACGCACAATTAGGACTGTGCAAAGTTCCGTTAACAAAACGGAGGTTTTTGGAAATTAACGGAAGAGTCCAAACAGCAAAAACCGTTAATTTTTGAATTTTTAACGAAATTGATTAATAAAAAAGATTAACGGTTTAAAACAAAAACGAAATAGATTTTTTTTAAACGGTGAATTTCATTGTTTTTCTGTTTAAATTTGCATGAAACTTTGATGTTTTTAAATGTTGTTTTCTGTTTTTACAACCGTTAATGATTTCATAAACTGTTAAATGTTTTTTTTCGGCGCTTCGCTGTGTTTATACTGAAATAAACAGTTAAAGGTTGTGGGTTAATGATTTCATTAACCATTAACAAAAATTTGTTTTCCCTTCTCGTTGTTAACGCCAGTAATTCTGTCATAACATAACGGTTAATGGTTCTCAAAAATTTTCTGTTAACCATAAACACATAGTTTTTTTGTCCTAGCACTCTCATTTAAACACTATCATCCTGAAATGTTGTGACTTTAAATTAATATTAATTTAAAGGATTTTTTGTCAAAAAATATCTTTTTTTAATTTTTAGGGTAGGGTACAGGGCAGAAAAAGGTCCGGTCTGTAAAAACTGATTTTTCTCGATTTTGGTTTTTCACTGCTGGAAATCATATCATCGTGCCTGGCTACATTTGTTGCATAAAACAATAATGGGTCCCCTAACATTTGGTATTCCAGACTGGATAATACAGTACCTTGATTATAATTTTAAGACTTTTGGTTGATGAAGGAACATCACTGTTATATTCATTGCCAACTAATTTCCAGGAATTTTTCTTAAAAGTAAACTCTAGAGTTAATAATCAAAAAATACCACTAATCTTTGCATTTTTAAAGAATGGTCTGCCTTTGTTCTTTCAATATTACGGAAGATTTTGACAATTTTCGTTTATTTAATAAAATTGGAAATATATATCAGGTAATATTGACAGCACAAAAAGGCAGACCAAAGCACATTTTGAAAAAAGACCAGGACTAGGAAATTATAATTATAATAATAAATACAAAGATCAAAGACGACATTCAAGTCGTCTTAAGCTACTGTCATGTTTCGTGGAACGTCCTGATCTATGTGTGTTGTTTAATTCTAATAATTCCCATTTGTTTTCCTGCAGTAGAAATGCGCTATTTTAGAGAAACTACAATTAAAAATAATTTGCTGTTTTTCAAAATTTTAAATATTGATGTCTAATTCATGCTTGATCAGACAAAGCTTTAAAAGGTATTGTTGTGAATATGTATTGCATGAAGGGTCACTTGAAATTACACTAACAGTCCCTTGAACAGTAATTTTCACACAATATTGTTTAGTTTTAAAGATATTTAGTTTCAAATTATAATTAGCTTGATATTCTTAAAATCTAAATTCCTTTGAATTGGGGGTGAGGGTTGCATGATCCGTCGAGAAGGCAGGTACTTTCCCAGGGAATGGGATTGGGCCCCAGTGGGGGATCTCGCACTCATCCCCCCCTCCCCCTTGAATTATGGGGGATTATGTTGATCTTGATCCTAATGTTTTGTAATGATCTCTTTATGGATGTTTTGAGGGAATTGGGGTTGTGCGGTGCATGATACACCAAGAAGGCAGGTTCTTTCCCAGTGTATGGGATTGGGCCCCAGTGGTGGATTACGCACTCATCCCCCCCTCCCCCCTTTTTGGTCTGAGTATTGTTTGCTTGTGAGCCCAAGTTCTTACTTAAAATCAAATATATTAATTACTCTCTGTTTACATTATGAATCCCTCTCTGTCTCCATCCCCCACCTTTGATTTACGCTGCACATTTTTTTTCTCCTCATTTCTTTTGTATGTTTTTTTTTAATTTTATATAAATCAATTAAAGAATTTGGTCAGCAGGGGGGCACAGCTAAAACAGTCCCAGGCTATTGAGTATGCCTGAGCGGAAAATATTATTTTCATGTTGTGATTAAGAATTAAATTCATAAATATGGTTTTTCGGCAGTAATAAATGATTAGATTTGATTTGATTTGATTTGATTTGAATACTTGATCTTGAAACCTACTTTTGAATTGACAGATGAATGTGTTATCCTTCTGTTTTAGCTATCTCTGTTGTGTTCTAACCATGGGAAATCCAAGAGACATTGATTAACATAACCTTTTCTGAAGCTGTTAAGAATGCAAAACCATTAAAGACTGTTAGAAATTAGTTGTGGAACCGTAATTAAAGAAGCATATATAGTAGAGCTAGATGTGAGTTGTGACAGGCTTAAAAAGTTTACAGGTCCATTTATTACTGTTCAATTCTATATTGAATTATCGCGCTGTAAAATTTTTTCAGCATGTCACAAGTAGCTCTATGCAACCTTGGGGGTAGATTTATTAAAAATCTTATAAAGACACATTAAACCCTTCATGTTCTAAAGTTATAATGGTTTCTAAGGCTTTTACAAAACCAATTTATCAGGAAAATAATATCGGAAACCATAACCTTCACACAACTAATGCCCAACATTATTCCTAGGTATCCCTGAAATTTCAAGTGCTAATATAGCAAAGAAAGATAAAACTGTTTACCACCTTAAAAATCAAGAATTTGACTTCCTGTTGATTATCCCAGAATATCGAGCCTACTGCCATCTGGAAGTAAAGGCAGGTGAAGAAGTCAATGGTGCCTGTATTGATCAGCTCATAAAAGGAAAACAGTTCTTCAAGATGGTTCAAGAATATCTGGGAGAAGAGGAATACAAGGATTGGAAATTTATTCCGGTTTCAGCCTTTCCAAATGCTGAGGTAAGGCTGTAAAATGATGAATCATGAACTGAACTAATATAGAACCTTAACAATTATACAGTTATGCCTAGGACTGGTTCACTGGAAATATTTTTACTTTTTATATCCTTTCTATCAGCATAACATCAGTAAAAGGCCCGGAACGCAAATTTGTTGGGAGAAATAATTTTAATATAAGTGTTCAATCTGTGAGAGCTAATATAATCCTAACTTTCAGTTTTCAATGCTTATTTATTGGTATTATTGAATACAAAAAATATGAATTCACAAATTTTTGACTCCCTACATTAGTTTTAAAAGGGACTGTCAGTGTAAATTTAAATGACCCTCCATGCAAAGATTGGAATGCACTATTTACAAGGTTTGTCTGATCAAGTATGAATTAGATATCCATGTTTTTGTTTCTTTAAATTGTTTATCTTCATTTGTGGGTTCTCTGTGAAAATTACTTGCGTATTTCTTGCTTATGAGAAGCAATTGATAAATTATTAGAATTAAATTTTATTGAGTCAGAAAATGACGTTATCTTCAACATTATTGATAAAAAGAAGCAATGGAGAAATTCACAGAAATGAACCCTTTTCGAGACAAAAAATCAACATTTTTGATCCGATTAAGGTTTCAAGGGTATTCTTTTAATTTTGACATTGCCATCTTTGCATAGTGGGTCACTTGAAATTATGCTTACACTCCCTTTAATACTTATTTATATATGTATAGCCTTCATATAAAGCAGGGGAAGAAAGTTCCAAACTGCGCTTATGTTCCAAACCTGACATTGAGTGTCATATTTACGCACAAATGTTATGATCAATGTTTTAGTAACTCTTGTTGTGCTAAGATTAAATATCAATTAAAAATAAACTATTTCTAACATAGTATTAACACGCCGAAAACTACAATTAAAGGGAGTGTACGCGAAAAATGAAAGGGGGTATAGGCTTAATGCGATAAAAAAGCGCTTTTGATCGCTACTAATCTTACTTCTATCTGTTGCGTCTATAAGGAGAAAGTTGTTAAAGACATCTCATACCTCAGAACGTAGCGCCCATACAAATTGAGGAAATTGCAACATACGACTTAGACCGTAAAAAAATCAATTTAATTTCAAACAAATCATTCAGATATTACAACCTATAGTCATCGATTATCTTTCGTCACATTTGTATATAGTTTATATTTTATAGTATTTTTTAATTAATTTTTTTACATTTACTTTTTAGAAAACGTTTTTAACGGATTTCGAAAAATGTGAGTGGTGCGCTGCATTCTTAGATAGTTGCGCAAGCGACAAGAGAAATAATCAAATTCAAAACAAATTAGTTAAAAAAGTCTGGTCTGGGCCAAATCATGGTTTGGAACTTTCTTTCCCTGTAAGATCATCTTTTAACGTAAAATCATTTGATAACTTTGCATATTGAGTTAGACAAAACATATTGAAATATTTATTGTTGTACTTGTACCTTTCAAAAGAAAGGAAAGATGTTAAAGGGAGTGACCGGCAATGTACCCTAGTAACAAAAGTGAGGAATTTCTCCAGATTCTCCAACCGTAGTGACTTTCTTTGAAGAATTTCCAAGGAATTTCTCGAGAATCATTTCCTGTAACTGATTCCTCGGAATTTCTCGAGAAATTCCCCAAAATTGATCCCCAAGATTAGAGATTTTTGTGGGAAAACAGTTTTGAGACTCAGTTTCGAGAAATTCCTAAGAAATTCCTGAGAAATTCTTAGGACTTGGTCACCATGTTTACGGATTTTTAGGGGAATTTATTATTAGAATTAGTTCAGAGAAACTCCA